CCGCCATTGTTCCAGGCAGAGAAGGGATAGAGTAGCTCCGCCCACCGCGCATCAGACCCACTTTAACACCGTGCAGCTAGAGCAGCAGAGATGCTTCAGCTGCGCGTCAGAACTAAACTTGAACGAGCATCAAAAATGAAGCAGCAGGCGCGTTTTAGCTGCTCCTGCTGCTTGCGATCTGGACGTAGCATCAGACTGTTGGTCAGAGCGCCCCCCGCCTGCCATCAGGTATGATGGTTCTGGTCGTTAGCATCCAGATGCTAGGAGCGGCCCATGGAACTCACTGAAGGGGTTTCCGGTGTGGCAGTAGATATGTTGGTAGAGTCCAGGATGGACGGTGCTGCCGTAGTAATCCTCTTCCAGCTCCTCCTCAGTCGGGGGGTGGGAGGGAGGGGAGTCAGCGGGGATGCTGGATCCTCCTGGACTGGAGCGCCCCCCGCCTGCCATCAGGTATGACTGCAGTCCTGGAACCAAACCTCCACCTGCACTCAGGTAGCACAGAGTGCTGCCCCTGGAGGACTGCAGCTCCGCCACCATGTCCGCTCTGATGGACACAGAAGAAGAGCTGACGGTTTCTGGTTGACGCACATTAGAACAGAGAAACAACCAAAGAGTATCGACAGAAATCCTCTGTGTTCAAGCTAATGGGACCACGCCATGCTGCACCGGTTGGCAGCGTGTTCGGTCTGTGTGTTCTCTCCATCTTCCTGTCTATAAACAGCAGATTCAACCAGCTGTGAGTGAGTGGCTGTCTGTCCTTTGCGTCTCTGAACTGTCCTGCTTTATGCTAAGTTTACTAAAGGTGAGCGTGACAGAGGGAGGGTCTGAGCTAAACTGATAAATAAAACCAAGAGCTCACCTGGCCTCCTCTCCCCCTCCTCCGTTCTCCTCGGCTGGGGGAGTCTCCGATCTCTCCTGTTTGATCCTGCTGACGGCCAGGAGCAGCGCCTCCGGGCTCAGAGATGGCTGATCGGGACTGACCTCCTGCAGCTGGGGGGGCGTGTCCTGCTGATGCTGCACCACCGGGGCGTCGAACCCCCCGAGTTCATCCGCTGAGGTCGTCTGAGTTAAAACAGCATTGAAAGGTAACGATGTTCATCTATAAGACAGCCGCTAGTTTTACCAGCATCCATTAGATGTTAATCTCTGTTTAAATTCCTCTGATTAAAACGGAAACCTTGATAAAAAAGGCAAATATTAAATCCTTAAGCAAATT